CACCCCCACGCCCCAAACTTGAGTGAGTTTAGAATATCAGGTGAAAACTGAGATGGCCCACTGATGATCAAGGTCAAGACTCTGGAGGGGGAAATAGAGATGCTAGGCTTCTCCTCTGAAACTCAGAGGAGCGTGCGTATGTGCCCCTGGCTTTCTCTACATCTGTTTCTTTTTGCAGTGGAACATCTCACCATTGCACCCTTAGGTGTTGAGAGGTTCCCTGTTTTTCACTCAACTAAAAATTTTTGCCTTCAGTAAAGGAGTACCATTGGTTTGGGTGCCCTTCCCTTCACTTTCTTGGAATCCTTTGCATGCATCTACTGGGGACAAAGGACTAAGCCTGTTGGGGAGGAAGAGTCATGGCAGTTAGCTTGTGGAGGAGCTACCCTGGAGACAGGGCGAAACTTCCCTATTCCCAGCATTGGTTCTAGTGCAGTGATCCTCGGTGTGCTTTCTGGACCAGCAAGAGCAGCTTCACTGGGCAAGTTATTGAGATGGAGCTTCTTAGGCCCATTCCTGACCTCATGAGTCCGACTCTGGGGGTGGGGACCTGCATTCCAGGGTTTTACAAGCATGCCTGGTGATTGTGATGCATGATCAAACTTGGAACCACTCCCAGCTGAGCTGCTAGTAGCTGAGCTCTCCTCTGGAAATGCCTTCTCCTGACTTAGCCACGATTTGCCTCCTCCCCATGGACAGCCTGCATCACGTGATTATTGATGAAGAGGACTGGCTCCTTGCCTTAATTCAGTGAAACTTTGAAGGGCCATCTTAATTGCACAGCTCCCATGGGATTAGATGAGGCTTCTGTTGCAAATGCATTGCAGTTTGACTTCCCTCTTAGCCTGATTCTACTCCCAGCAAGTACTTACCACATACCCTGATAGCACTCCCCAGTCAACCTCCTGCATGCACACATCCATATCACAGGCTTATTTGGGGAAATGGGAATCTGACCCAATGCACAATCAAAGCCCTAGCCTGAGCATCTACTCTGCAAAAGCAGTCTGAACAGAGTGCACCTCTCCTACTCATCAACCCGTAGCACCTGGGGTGGGCTCATTCTCTGCACACACCTCAGCAAGCAGCTCTCAGGCCAGGGTTTGGCTGGGGTTGGCACATCAGGTTGTAGGAGTGAGAAATGGCATAGGCCATAGAATCCTAGTTGAGCAAGCAGAGATTGGAAGGACCTCTGCAGAATAACCTGAAAGCCCCAGTAAGGGAGGCTCGATGTTGAAGTGATCAATCCTCTTGCCCCTAAGGGGAGGAGAAGGAGACTAGCAATTATAGGCTGGGCTGTTGACCAGGATCTTGCACATATATCCTCATGCATTGGGATGAAAGGATGTGGGAGTGTATTATCACCCTCTACCCTTTTAAGTCATGGCAAGTGCTTGATAATTCCTTTGGATTTTCTGTAAATGTTACTCACTTCATTCTGGCCAGATCTGTTCCTGTGGTAAAAGGGTTGAAAAATGCACCTGTAACTTGAGGACCCTGTGGAGCTGCTTGTGATGGTGACATCCCACTTCCTGATGGCATACGTGGCAGGACTGGCTGAGGGATTCATGTCCATGTTCTCCATTAGATGTTCAGATGAGACACATGGCATGGTGCCTCAGCCTGGGGCCTGATGATGCACCTGTAGGAGATGTGCTTCTGTGTTGTCTGTGCTTATCATTTACTGGTGCTCTTAGGCTGGGAGTCTGGTGCTTACAAATATTTTCACCCTCTGTTGTAGTTCGCAGCCAACTGTATAACTTTTAGTTGTTTGATTAGACGTATTTATATGCTTTAGACAACATGATATGGTGGGAATACATGGAATGTAAGGCAGAAGACCTAGTTTCTGGTCCAAGTTCTGCCACTTATGGTGGCAGTATGATGTTCAGCAGGTCACTTTAAATTTCTGGTTTTGGTTGCCTGGTTAATGAGCTGGTTGAGGATCCAGTCCAACTCGAATGTTCGCGGTAGCGGGGTGGTTAAGGAGCTATGATTTAATAGTATACCCAGTACAAGTAACATATGGAAACCTATCCCACCACAGACACATTCTGCCATAACAGATAGGGGTGCTTTAGGAATATTCAAAATCCCTAGGACTTTCAGGTAAGGGAAATTGACAAACTGCTCTTGGGGCGATCAGAGACATCAACAGCACTGTCTCTAAGTCTATTTGTCTCCCAAGTCCTTGAAGAGGAGGAAACATTAAGCATTACAAGTTCTAAGTACTCGGTATATTAGAGCACATGGACCATATGCCTGGCACTCTCTCTTATGCTTGGTAACTACCTGGTACTTCCTAGCACACATTGTGACCTGCTATTTTAGGATGTATATTTAGTTATTGTCTGACTCTCAGGAGAATATAAGCTTTCCGTGAGGAGATGGAGGCTTAGGGAGGCGAAGGAATGGTTTTAAATCAAGGTCGTCTGCTCTGGCCTCTCTGCTTTAATCATACTGACACTTCCTTCTTTTGCATATATTGCCCATCTCAAGGCAGGCATACTAAAATAATCGTTGAACTTTTCAAAGAGGCAGAATCCTGTATGTGGGTCAAACACACGCTCTATTGCCAATAATAACCATTTGTGGAGTTTCTGCTCTACCATACACGGTGTAATGCTAGAGATACACTAGGTTCCAACCTGCAGGAGAATATAAGCTTTTGAGTGAAAAGGAAAGTTATGTTGACAGATGGGAGGGAAGGAGAGACGTAACCACATGTGGGAGCCTATATTAATTGCCAAATACGAGGTGCAGTCTAGTGGCTCTCAATGCCAAAATTGACTTTGGGCAGGCCATAGAAGGATCATCTAGTAAAACTTGAGATTTTTTTCCGTATGTTTATTTCTGTGCTCACTATTTCTTCTTACATCTGACTTCTTCCTTCTTGGTCCCTTCCTTTCTGCAGTACATTTCATCAGTAGATGGGGTAGGTCTTGCTGAGAGCCCAGGAAAACAGTTTTTAAAAGCTCTTGGAGATTGGGGTCCCTGCCACCGTGAAGGCTGTAGAAGTCACAGGAGGAAGAGTTCACTATTGGCTGACGTGGCCAGGGAAGTGGTGGCAGCTGGCCTGACCCTAGTGGAAAGTCAGGGGCCCATGAGAAGAGAAATGGGGATGGTTCCTTGTGGAGGGAGAGATGGAGATGAGGAAGCAAGCACTGGGAGGAGGGGTGCTGCTGCAGGGCTGTGGGGCACTGAATGGAGCCCAAGAGATCTGAATCGAGGCAAAGAGGGTCTAAAAATAAGTGTGTGGGGGGATCTCTCAGGGAAAGATACTCCTGGACATTGAAGGTGAGGAGGGAAACCTGTGCTTTCCCTTCCAGGGAAGAAATGTATGGCAGAGGAGTTAAGAACCTGCGCTGAGTCAGACCAGTTTGGTGTTAAATACATGCTCCAAAATTTGCATGACTTGGGATGAGTTAGTTAACACCTCCATGGAAGCCAGTTTTTCCTTCTCTAAAATGGGAACAACAGCTCCTACCACAGAGGTTTTATGAGGATTAAATTCGAAAATTCATTTGAAGCTTTTAAAACACTGTCTGGGGCTTGGTAAGTGCTCATTAAATAATAGTTGCTGTTACTGTTGCTGTTACACTATTGAAAGTCAGGATATAGATCAGCCCGAAATTGTCCCTGGAAGTCTTTGTAGATGACAGATAAAAACTGACCTTCATTGCCAGCCCTATATGGGAAGCCTCTCTGAATTGGAGAAAGTTGACTCCTAACTTGTACATGTTGATCTCTAGCACATGGAAACAGGGGAAGCTACTTACAGAATGACTGGTCCAGAGGCTCCGTGGAAAACATCATTAGGCAATTCTTCCAAATTATTGTTATCACTTAGATTCCTGGGGATGGAGTTCAGCAGAGAAGAAGGGAAACACAAAGCCACATAAATATCACTGTTGTAAGAGCCATTTCCCTCTAAATGGCCTGGAAGAATAGTCAGGGCTACTTACAGCTCATCTAGTTGGGTTCCATTGAATGCGCAGTTGTGTATTTCTTGAATGCCGTTCTTATTCAGCCATCTGAAATAAAAGGCCCATTAAAAAACCAATAATGTCAGATGCAAACAATGCAGGGGTTTCATAATTGGAAGCACTGGGGCAAGGTCAGACATTGCAGGTTGTTGGCATAAACAAAATGCCACCCGTAAGGCTCAGGGACAAGAGTGGGAGGGAGGCTGATTTATCACTGTATGACCTCATGTGATGTTTGAAGTTTACGTTATGTGCATGTATTACTTTCCAGAGGGGAAAAAAATTTTGAAAAGGCACACTTAGGCCTACCACCTGGATCCTGTATGGTCTTCACGCACATCATTAGTGTGCAGAGATGGTGCCATGGGGGGATAAGACAAAGGTGTTTCCCATCCTGAAGGACTGAAATCATGCAATTATTGGACAAGTGTTTATAAGACAAAGAACATTTTGTATCCCCTTTCTCTAAGGCCTTAAGCCTCTCACCCATGCTCACCCATAGCAGCAGGGCTGGCTGTCATCAAAAAGTGATCTAATTAAGCTATCAGACAACCTGAACATCTCCTGTGACCCACAGAGACCTGGTTATTGGAGGTTTGTGGAGGTGGCTCTGGGTTAAGCCAGAAAGGAAGAGAAATCAATTAGAGACACTGTGGGCTGTGGCAGGGCGCAGTAGTGTGAGTGGGAACAGGAGGGGCCTCTGTGGTTGATGGGGGCTGGATGTGGAACAGTCAGCCTGATTGTGCAAAGGAGAGTGAGCAGGTTAGGGGAGACCAAGGACACCTTGGGCCGACAGCTCTGCACTGCTGTGCTCCTGGATGGGCCTGAAAACAAAAACAAAATCCAAGGTCGGGAGAGCTTAGCCTGAAGAGCCTTTGACTACCTGCTCTTGATTTGCTGTCAGATCCTTTTCCTTGTCAGGCTCAGTGGGTTTACAAATAACAGTGTTTGAAAAGCTGACCCCGAGAGGCTCCTGCATATTCTGGACTTTTATTTTCCGGCTTGCAATGGGTAGCTAGAAACACTTACAATCACAGGACAGCAACCGTATGTTTTTTCTCCTTCCTCCTGAAAACCAGTTTACATAAAAAAATCCAGACAGGAGCAAGGTAAATCTTTTTAAAACCTCAGCAACCATTTGGTGGGTTCTGATGGCCAAAGAGTGGCTGTGTACCCCCGCATCCCACCTGCCTTGCAACTCCCTGGCTGGACCCCAGCTATCTAGCCTGCTCACGTCTTTGTCAGCCTGTCCCTGGTAGTGAATTGCTGCGACAGCTGCCCCTAACCTGTGGGATGTAGTTCCCTGGGATTTTCAGTCAACCACAGGGATCAGCAAACTTTCTCTGTGAAGGGCCAGGCAGGACATTTTAGGTTTTGTGGGCCAAGAGACAAAATGGAGAATACTACATAGATATTTTATATAGGTACGTACTAAACAACGTTGACAAAGGTTTTGACCAAATTTATAATAATAGAGTACTATTTTTTTTTTTTAAATAGAGGTCTATTGAAAAGCATGGATTTTTTTTTTTTCTTTTTTTTTCTGGGCAGGGTACCATCTTGCTTAATTTAGGTTAGTGTCAGTGTTCCCTGTCATCAAAATGTTCACTTGTGTAAACCAGTACTAGTTCATGGGCTGGATTTGGCTGACCCTTCCTCTAACACAAAGGGGTATGTAAATCCAGTTGGGCTCCACCTATGTTTCTGTAGACTAGATTTTTCTGTACATAAATTTCCTGTAAATAGATCTTGCTATGATTAAATAATATATAGATGGATTTAAAAGAATTACTGTATTTGAAGTAGCCTTTTGTCTTTATGGATTTTTCTCAGTCAACAGATACCATCATATGGGGAGGGGGTGGAAGTTTTTGATGTCAATGATGGATCATTACACATACAAAAAAAGTGATGTCCAGAACTCTGGCCCTGGGCTTTACATTAGGCTGTAACACTCAAACTACTAACAAAGAGAAGCTGACATTGATTATGTATACTCTTAGTCTCTTAAGAGATACAGTGCTGGTTTGAAAACCTGATGATGATGATGACGATGACGACAATGACCACAATGACAAGGAAAACCTGGGCAAAGCATCATCTAAAGAATAACTGGATCATGGTTTTGTTTGATCTTTATGTGTTTGTGGCCTCAGTAGAGGCTCAGGAGGCTCCAGAAGCAGAATCTGCTCACAGCCTAAAGAGTGAGGGGACTGGGGGGACCCAGCCTATTAAAGCTCACTGGGGCAGGCAAGTGAGATGGAAGCAATTGAGGAAAGGAGGAAATGCACATGGAGTGAGCCTCTCCTATGGCTGGGACATGGTGGGAGCTGATACACATGGAGGCTCATTTTATTTTTTTTCTGAATTGAGGCCATTCTTTTGGTCAGTCACAGCTCGATGTTTTCCCCATTCAGACCCTGTGGTTGCAGTGCGGGGGTGGGAAAGGGCTCAGAGGCCTCAACATGGTGGACCTTTATTGCTCATTTTCCTCTGAGACACTAGCCCAGTATCTGATAATCCTTTATTATTATTGGGCTATTTAAAAAAATTGTGTGCATGTGATATATATATGTATATGTATGTGTGTATATATATATATGATAAATTTTTTTTAGAACAGGGACTCAAGATTTGAAAAGTGCCAGTGCATAGAAAACTCTATCAGTCGTCAGTGCCATTTAGCCATACTGCTTTTTCTGAGCACACTTGGATGTCCTTAGTGGGAGAAGGCGCCCCTGCATCCAGATGTGTCACCCCAACTAAGAACAACTGGAGTCTTAAACTGTCTTGAGTATGGATTTTCCAATTCCATTATCTATGGATTAAGGACCATCTGAGGTCAAGAAAAATAGATTTTGTTCTCACAAAAGTGAATTTATCCTTTAGAGACATGTCTGAGAAGTATTGACTCTTAAGAAAACTCTCCTCTTTGGGAGAGTATGTTCTAAATTCTGGGGAGCCACGCGGTGTCCATGAACAGAAGTCCGAAAAGAGCAGCCATGATCTGCACATTTCCTTTGTAGGTTTGGGTGTGTGAGGCTGTGTCCTAAGTTCTTATTTCCTCAGGTCCTTTGCCTACACTTGGGGAGAGGTAAGGCCTTTTTAGGTCAGGATCCTTGCCTTCTGTCTTACGTTCTGGACAAAAAGAATGTGTGTCATAGTAGAAAACTGCGAGCAGTCTGCACACTCCCACTTAATGATATATTTTTATAAAATACTCTGTTAATAGATTTGCCACATGGTAACATTAAGTAACTTAGAACCACTATATTTAAAGATGTTGAGAGCAAGATTTAAAGAAGCACAGGATATCCAGGTACAGCTGATGACATTTATCACTAGTCTCCTTCCATAATGTAGCCTGGCAATCCGTTCACTGTCTATTTGTGCCCTAAGCCGCCAGGCTGATGTTACTCAGGGATTCCCTCTTTTCCCCCGAACTCCTTCTATCTTTCCTCCTCCTCCTTTTTTTTTTTTTTTAACCTTAATAGCCTTGATGATTGTTCCCTCTGCTTGCCCTTTGCCTGGCTACATCCCACTTACCTGTTAAAGCCCCATCTTAGACACAACTTCCTTTCTCGGCCACCTTTCCCTCTTAACTGTTCCTTCAACCCTCACGTCACAGGCCAGTCAGAGTAAATCATTCCTTCTTCCCTTTTAGGAAAATTGCTTTTATTTTGCACACTTTTTATTCTGTTTATATTTTAATCCATTTCTTTTGCTTTCCCCTTCTCTCATATTTCCCATACCCCATCGACTCATTCTAATACAGGTGCACATAAATTCCGAATGTTGTGAGTGTATTAAAGGGAAGGATTAGGTATTACTCAGTTAAAATTGTTGTCCTAATACCATGTACTCTGAATACATGCCTTTGATTTTTAAATTTTTTTCCTTCATACTTGCTATGTCTCTGCTAGTCTCTTTGCAACCTTTCCTATTGTTCTAATTAATTTACATCAAATGCTGTGCTTAGCTTTAATCTTCAGCATGTCCTCGTCTCTACTGTTTCTCTCCCCACCCTCCCTCCCCGCCCCTTTTCTTTCTCATACTGCTGGGTACTCTCTGAATCATGTTACTGTTTTGAAAATGACTGAAATTATTCCTTGGCTGGAACTTAACCTTTTGTACATAATGGCATCTTTTAAGCACACACACTGGTATATTTTTAAAAAATGCAACAATTTCTGAAGTGGGAGGATAAAATGTTTTCCTTACGGACGTAATGGCGGTTACCGGTTTCCCAAATGCCATTCTGTTTATCTAACTTCCGTAGATCCCACAGACACCTGGGTAGCCCGAGGCGCTCTCTTTCTGGGCCATCTTGGGCGGTGGATAAACTGCCACCCAGGCTACCAGCACAAACGGTTGCAAAGGAGTCCGTTAATGGCACGGGGTGCATTTAAAAACCTTCCCCAAAGCCAGAGGGAGTAACTCAAGCTCATTAAAAAACGTGATTGCTTCAAGAGAGAAGAGGTCCTCTCACGCCCAGCGTGGGGTTGAACAGGAGCTGCTTGGCATGGTTATGAGGGAAAATCTCCCCAATTCAGCCTCCTCCTTGGTCTTTTTCTTGGGGCAACAAAAGCCTTGCTAGGCAGTAACTAGCTTTACTGATGCATGAGTTATTCTGTCCTTCAGAACAGATGTGGCCTCACAGGAGACCATCCTTCAAAGAGCAATTTTAAATATTTGAATCGCACCGCAGAATCATAAATTATTAACATGACTCCATGTTGTGATTCTGAAATGTAAAGATGGGAAATGAGAGAAAAATACTGAAGCAGAAATTTAAATGGTGAAAAGCCAAAGTTACCCAAACACAAAAGGAGCATCCTGTTAGGGGAAAGATGATTAAATCAGAAACCAAATGTTACTCCACTGGAGTTTTTTTCTTTACTTACAAAATCATACTTTCAAAACTCAGCCCCATGAAAGAATTTCTTTCAACTGTGTGGATGTTGATATTATCTTGAATGTCTCTAGAAGAAAGTACAGATACATTAGGTCTTTATGCCAGCTCCACTCCTGTAACCTCCCCACATTTTGTTTCCTGGGCATGATGTGGTCTTTAGCTGAGGCAATGTTGGAACAGTTAGTATTCTGAGAGATGAGGAGTTCAAAGTTAGGGAAATAAATGACATCTAATTTACCTTCAGTTTATCAGTGCCTAAAAATGAAATTGCAATTTCTCATAGTCTCTTGTCTCTGGACATTTTCTTAGCTAATTTCACCGTGTTAAGGTTCTGATACACTCCTTTATTATCCTTGCCTGCTCACTATGACAAAGCCACTAACGCTGACCTTTCACCTCCATATGGAACTTCATTCACCATACTTGGGCCTTTAGCTTCCTCCCATTTCAGTCCCCCTCTCACAGCCAGTTTACTTCCTTCTATTCCCCTTGGGTCACAGAAAAGTTGTATCATTCTATTTCTGAACGGAGGGATGGAGAAAGTCTCATTTTTTGGGTTGTGTCCCTCATCCCCCATCAAGCTTCCCTGTTGGGTCAGATTTAACAAATACACTGTATGCAGGAGTAGTAAACTGCCTGGAACAATTTGAGAAATGTTGAGAGATTCTTTTTCTCTCCCTCCCTCTCTCCTTTCTTCCCCCTTTTCCTTAGCTCTTTATACCCCTTCCTTACCATTTCCTTTTGGGTCTGTCCAGATTCTTAGAATTTCACTATTGAAAGTAAACTTGGCATTACACATGGCCTTTTCCCCTCCTCTTTGAAAATACAGATGTCTTGAGAAAAGGCAAATAGATTATCTTGCTGACAGTGTGAATTTGTGAATCGTCAGCCAGTTTCTTTATGCCTAGGGTCGTATGAGAATTCAGGAGGGAAGAGGTGAGGGTGAGGGAAGACTGGGGTGAGGATGGTATTTGTAGGGGTGGTATGTAAAGCACTAAATAGTGAAGAGAGGAGGCCCTTCTTGATTTGCTACAAGCTGGCTCTGTTGAAATGGTCTTATTGAGGAGACTGCTGACTGTCTCCAAACTGAGCTTAGCGGGCTTTCAGATAAAACTAAGGGTACTTCCTGCTTGCCTTCCTACCTCTGCTTACCCAGAGTGACCTATTTGGAGGATCTAGGTTAAGCAGTGCATATTATAGGCCCCGAGGCCATTGGACAAGACATCTACTAAGTCAACACTCAAGGAAACACTTACAGTAGAACCTTTTGGAGAGACTGAACCTTGTGAACAGCTGGTAAGTGCTTAATACCTGTGTTGGATATTAACCTAGAGAGAGACAGAATTAGAATGAGGAAAAAAAGAACCTGGCTATCTTAACAATTACTATGATATAAGCTTTCCAAATTCAAAGTAACAGTTTTGAGCTAGCAGAAAAACCCACCAGAAAATCCCGTAATACAGCTGCCGCATGCTTACATTTTCTATTTTAAGGCTGTAACCAAGGTCTAGCAAAATACTGATTCCTTAGAGTAAAGAAACTTACACTTCCGACACAATGCACAATACTCTTTTTTTTTTTTAAGGTACATTAACATGATCCAAAAGCAAATTGTAACTAGGTAACAAAGTGTTCCTAAATCATCCCCTTGTTTCCTGCCTTCTCACAGTCTTTGGAGAACTGCCCCTTCCCCAATCCAAGTGATTCTGTTGAGATTAGAGCATGAGGTTCCATGCCCTTTGACCCCAGAATACGCATGTACCCTAATCTCGCTGAATCAGACTGTCTCCTGGGAAGTGGTTGGAGGTTGGTTAGCGCTGAGTCCACTGATGACATCACCCTTAAGAGACAGTCCATAAATTTCTATAGCTGAAATGTCCAGAGCTATAATGGATCCTTCCCAAGGTCTGCTTATTTTGGCCTGTGTTCCCCAGAAAGCAGAGACTGACATGAAACCTGGCCTGTAGATGGTATCTTTGATAATGAGTTTAGAGAGTTTGTGACATCAGTAATAAAACGGGGAAGAAAGATAATCAATACAAAGATAAGTTGTTGAGTTGGCCACTGCTCCTGGTTACTGGCCCTTAATGCCAAGTACTTGATTTAGGAGACTTTCAAAATGGATCTCAGAACTGTTGCTCTGAATGGGGGAAAAGGGGAAACATTTATTCATGGACTACTATTTCCTATTGGTCAGATGTGTCCCCATGGTGTTAACTCCTTACTTATGGCTTGCATGCTATATGAGTGCCTAGTGAGTTAGGAGACCCAGGACAGGAAATGAGAGGTCTGCAAGGCCAGGTGAGGTGATATCCACTTGCACCTGCATTAAGCTGATTGAAATTTGGGTGGACCTGGCTGCCACAGCAGTGGTGAAGGTTTTCAAGGCACATGAGAGTTGTTTGACACCCTGGTCTTTAGCATTTCCCTCTCTTGTGAGTTTCTCAGAATCCTTCTCACCACCATTTTTCTTTTCTATGTGGCTTACTCAAGCCAGAGTTGGTCTTGGTCACTTGCAATCTAAAGAATCTTCACTGGTACATACATCATTGTGAAGGATCATTTGTCCTTTTGGGTTTATGACTCTAGACTGTGGTATCTTTGCTTCTATATTCAGAGTCCGTGAATTCTGCCTATGGCTTCTCTAATTGTTCTCAGATGTTTTATTCCCTCTTGGTTCTCGGTGATCCATGTAGAATCCATCTTGGTCAATTCTTTTGATTACTCAACAGCCCTTGATATGGTCCTCCTCTGTTTTGGTCAGTTTCTGTTCCTATAATTTTGCCTTCTCCAAAGTGTTACATCAGTGCAATTATATATTACACAACTTCTTGAATCTGGCTTCTTTGACACAGTATAATGCATTTGACATTCTTCCATCATGTGGTGTGTATCACTAGTTCACTTTTTTTTTTTTTTTTTTTTAAGATTTCATTCTTTTGACAGAGAGAGACACAGCGAGAGAGGGAACACAAGCAGGGGGAGTGGGAGAGGGAGAAGCAGGCTTCCCGCCGAGCAGAGAGCCCATGCGGGGCTCGATCCCAGGACCCTGAGATCATGACCTGAGCAGAAGGCAGACACCCAACGACTGAGCCACTCAGGCGTCCCTAGTTCATTTTTTTTTTTAATTGCTAAATAGGATTCCATTGTATGGATGTACCACAATTGATCCATTCACCATTTGAAGGACATGTAGGTCATTTCCAGTTTTTGTGATAATTAAAAAAAAAGCTGCTTTAAACATTGATGGTGGTGGTGGTGGTGTGTATGCACACATGTCTGTGCACATGTGAGAGAGAGGGGGAGAGAGAACATTTCTCTTTATCTTGGGCAAATACCTATGAGTAGGATTGCTGGGTTGTGTGGTAAGTGTATGTTTAGCTTTGTTAGAAACTGCCAAACTATTTTCCAAAGTGGCTGCACCGTTACGCATTGCCATCAGCAATGGGTGAGAGTTCTAGTTGTTCCTCATCCTTTGGTTATGTTAAAAATACTCTTTGAATATAAAAGTAATACATGTTTATTGTGGGAGTTATGGAAAATATGGAAACATTTACAGAAGAAAGTAAAAATGACCTCTAGTTTGTCTACCCAGATAGTTTCTGCTAATACTGGGGGTTTGAGGTTTCTACCAAAACAAATGGCTTTCATAGTTGCTTTCCCTAATCTCTGAGATTCTACTCATTCTAAACAGAAACATTGCCATAAATAAGTATATACTAGCTTGACACAGTCCTATTCCACATTTGTTATTTAATCATATCCAGTCTTCTGCCATTTTTAGATCTCTTCTCATGTGTCTATACACTATTCCCTTAATGAGATATCAAAGCAAGGACCATATTTAATATTCTCTGACAATCTATACTACCATGTACAGATTTTGAATGTAGTATGTACTCATAAAATATTGAGTTACTTGATGTTTCCAAAACATTTCTTGAATCTGTCACCGAGAATATATAAAAATCCTTATTCAGTTAATTTACTTGTCCAGTATTGCTGCTACCTAGAGTAATTAATCTTAAACAGATGCAGGGAAGTCTGGAGGCCAGGAATCGGTAGAACCTATGTGCCAGCTCGGTCATGAGCTAGACACAATGCATTTCATCTCTCTAGACTGGAAAGGATGTGGTGTGCATGAATATCAAGGTAGACATTCTGTCAGACACCTTTGTGCCCTGCTTCACATCCTTTTGGTCCATCTTTTACTCTAGCTGTTACCATAGCAACTAGCTACATACAGACTTAACTTGGCAGACACTGGTTGCAGTTGTACTGATTGTCTCATTTTTTGCCCTGGACTTCTCTACCATCTCTGAGTGGGACACTTAAAGGAAGCTTCTCTACCATTCAGAGACATGTACAATACAAATCAGGAAGTGCAAGAGAGTTAATACCCCACAGGGCAACTTTTGACTAGTGGTCAACTCCTCTCTTCCATTCTTTGGGTGAAGAATTCTGAATATATTCTAAATGACACTTAAGAGGGACTCTAGCATGATTGAACCCCCATTACCTGGTGGTGATGAGCTGATAATAAATTCCTGAGGTGGCTTTCCCTCTTTGTTTTCTTCTCCTTAGTCATCCAATCTCTTTCTCTGGGTTTGAGTATAAAAATAAACTACTCCCATATAAGTCCTTCCTCAGACATGTTTTAGAGCACCTAGGCTAAGACAAATACCAACTTGCACTGAATCTCACATTTACATAGATTCCCTGTTGGTTGCTCTTACCCTTTACTCCAAATCTGTTTCCAGTTGCAGCCCAGCCTGCCCTGTTTCTCTTCCTTCCTTTATTGTAAAGTTTCTAGAAAGAGTTGTCTGTATCTTTTGTCTTCATTTTCTTCTATCCCATTCCTCTTCAACCTCCTCCAAGTTTTTCATGGTACATCTCTCCACCAGAGCTTACTTTGTTATGTGCCAAATGCACCAATCCATAACCAATAAATCTAATGAGCAATTTAAATTCTCTCTCTTTTTAAAACATCTTTTAGGAGAATTCAGTACTTTTTCCCTTTCCTGTTAGTTTCTGTCATTTTGCACTCTTTTGTTCTTCTTACTCCTTTTTATTTTTGACTCCATCTTTACCCTGAGCCTTTTGCCTTTTTTCTTTATAATCTTGCTGGGAAGATCTCCTTTCCCATGGCTTTAAGTACTATCAATATGGTGACAGCTCATAGGTTCATACTTGACTTCTGACTGCTATAGTCTGTCTCTAATTCAAGTTTCTTTATATATTCTTCTGAATGTCCCACTGACAGAGCAAACTAAATTTGTTCACTCACTACTTCCATCAAACCCTCCTCCTCAATTCTTTCTCAAAAATATCACTACCATCTATCAGTTGTGTGTTATAAACGTGACAGTTACACTTGTCTTCTTCACCCTCACTCCGCAACATCAGTACATCTCAAAATCCTCTTAGTTTCCATTTCCAAAAGATTTCTTGATTCCATACAATGTCTTCCAACACTACTGATACCCTCCTAGAATAAGCCATCATCATCTTTCCTCTAGATCTCTGCAATAGACTCCTGCTTCCCATACACATAGTCTTGTCCTTTTCTAACCCATTCTCCATACAGAGCATTCTTTAAAAAAAAAAAAAAAAGTAAATCAGATTGTTTTAGTCTTCTGCTTTTCTTTAGTTCATTTCCATTATAGAATTTATATTTCTTACTACCTACTCTTGGACCCTATCTCATGCCATCCTCCCACTGCACTTGAGCCCCAGTGGCTTTCAGTCATTTCCTCACATACACTAAATTGGCATTTGGACATGCTCTATATGGAAGGCTCACCACCCAGTCCTTGCTTGGTCTCTCTCAACTGATGCTTCAGGGGTCAGTTGCAAATCTCATTTTTTCAGTGAAGAGCTCCCTGGCTGCCAATTTAAATTAAGGCCTCTGATTTAGTCCCAGTATAATCATGTCTTCTTTACCATTTTTTTCTTTTTAGCACCCATCAAAATTCTAAACTATACATTTTGTGTTTATTTGTTTAATATCATTTTCTTCCACTAGATTGTGAATGGTATGGATGCAAAAATCATGTTTTTCCTGAAAACTCAGTGTTGGCACAGTGGTTGGCACATATAATATGCTTGATGTTTATCAGGCCAGGCAATGTGCTATGTGCTGTTAAGAGATGAGCACAAGAAAAGGAATCATTCGCTACCTGTGTTCATCACACCTGATGTTTTTGACATTATATGGATGGTAACCTGGCTCTCTCTCTTAATGAATGAGTATGACTTCTACAGCATTGAAAGAGGGAAGAATTTATGATTGTCAATGAGAATGGTACATTATTTAATATCAATAGCA